AAATGTGAAAATATGTAATTGTTTATATTTTTCTTGTAGTCATTGTAGTTGATATTTTTGTTTAAAGTTTTTGTCAACAATATTGTTTTTTGTTAATAATATGAATTTTTGGAAGTTTAGTTTTACCATTTTATTATTTTATATACGTAAACATGTCAATTTAATACATTGGAATGCACAATCTATTCTGAAAAGTTGAGATTTCTCTTAAAAAAAAAATCATTTTTTTCTCATTAAAATTTAAAGATTGATGTTTTTTTAAATGTAAAAGTTGAATATTAGCTTTTTAATTATTAGCATGTAAAAATATATAACTTTTGATTTACAAAATGAAATATAATTGAATTTAATATAAAGATATAAAAATTTATATACAATTTATCTTAAATTATTTTATTATTTTCGAATTGTCTTGTGTTAGAATTATTTTTTTTAAGAATACATATATTCGTTTTTATAAATTTGGGAAGTTTTTGTCACAAGCATAATAAAATCTCTTTTAAAATTATGTTAAGTCTTTATTATAAATTTGAGTTAAAATTTATTTATATAAAAATGTTCTAAAACTTTATTTTGACAAAAAAATAATTTGTAGACATCTTTTGAATGAAAAACGAAAATATAATAAAATATTGATTAAAGTTTACTTTAATTTATTTATGGAAAGAAATACAAATTTAGTTACAGAAGAATTTTTAAAATGCGTTGTTATGATTTACATTTGTCATGTCATAATAAAATTAGTGAGATTAATTTTGGTGACGACATATAAGTAGATTTGTGTTATTAATTTTCTTTTCTATGTGTAGGAATGGTTAGAATCGTCTCTTGCTTCGAAGCTTGTTTAATTTATTAGAGTCCACAAACAAATGTTTAGCCTTTCTCCAACCAAAGTTATGTAAATTGCATAAATAAAGAAGTAATCTTATTTGAAATTTTTAATTTGTTGTTAGGAGAAGAATATAAATTGGAGAGGAAACTAATCGTGGGGGGCTTTGAATTTTGAGTGGACTATTTCTTTTAATTAAATTAAATTTATGGAAAATTGGGCCAAATAATCAAAAAAAATATATATCTTAAAATCTAACCCTGTGGCGAAATCCTAGCCCTTAGATCTAGGATATTTGGTCACTATTTTAAGTATATATTTAATGGTTATTTGCCAAATTAACCCTAAATTTAATTAGTTTATTAGATTTGATTGGACTATTTTGTTTTTATGAATTGGGCCAATAATAATGTCATAAGTGTTTTGCCATGTCATAATAAACTTTTGTCATGTCATAATTTTTTGGGTAAAATTGAATGTGGTGTTGACATTTAAGCTAAATTTAAAAAATCACTTCTTAAATAATATATAAGGGATTATGTACATATTTGCTGCAGTGATTTATCGTTTAACAATTTGACCGGTGAAGTTAATGGAATACAAAGAGCACCAAAATATACGTAAGTTCTACAATCTGAGATTGAGAATGTTAAGGGCTGGAGACTTTTCCATGTGAATACCACTATGTCATGATCAAGTATGTATCGATTTGACATGTTATTTCAGCTATTTGACTGGAAATAAGCTCTCTGGAGACGCTGGATCTGGTGTTTTTCTCAATAGCCAATCTAATATGTACGTATAGGCTTTCCTTTGTCTGTATGACTTGAGATATTTTTTCGTCATGTCAACTAATCTTTTTGCTTGTTTTCTATATTGTTTATTTCTCACAGTGATCTCTCTTACAACAATTTCTCATGGTCGTCTAGCTGCCAGGAAAACAGGTACAAACATGAAATCTTGGTAGATAGGATACGTACGTCTGCTAATTATTCTTAGTAACCTTCTAATATTGAAACAGTAACATCAACACGTACCGGAGCTCATATATTAAGAACAATTTGTAAGCACATTCTTCTGCTTTATCTTGCAATAGTCAAGCACTAGAAATGGTTTTGCGGATGAGATGCCTAACTTATTTGGTAATCTCATCATACAGAACTGGGCTTCTTCCATGTGAGGGTCCAATCATCTGCACGAGTTGTAAGTACTTAACATGCAGATAGTTGCTTACCTTGTTATTTCTCTATCTATTGATGTTATGATAATCATTATGGATTGTAGATGAGCGATCACTACATATAAATTGTGGTGGAGAGAATGTAACTATTACAAACTCTTTTGGTAAAATAACTTATCAAGCTGATAACAGTCAAACCAGCGCCACAGCAAGTCAGCACTTCAAAAACTGGGGAATCAGTAACACAGGTGTATTTTTCACGGAGAATGATAGTGAGGATGATACGTACATCATTTCAACTAGTTTAACACTATCTGGAGATTCTCCTGATCTTTATAAGACTGCGCGTCGATCTGCTCTCTCTCTTGTTTATTATGCGTTTTGCTTGGAAAATGGAAACTACGATGTGAAACTTCATTTTATGGAGATTCAGTTTTCAGACCAAGAACTATACAGTCGTCTGGGCAGACGCATATTTGATGTCTATGTTCAGGTAAAGCGTCACTCTTTACTGAATAATTGTTTTCTTTAAAGTAATGTTTATTTGCTTTCTGTCCCTTTTCTCCCCTATTAGGGAGAATTGTTCTTGGAGGATTTTAACATCAAAGAGGAGGCTAATGGGAATCAGAAGCCAGTTGTGAAAGAAAAGAAAGCTGTTAATGTGACGGATCATATTTTAGAGATTCGATTGTATTGGGCAGGGAAAGGGACAACCCTCATTCCCAAAAGAGGAACTTATGGTCCTCTTATATCTGCAATCTCCTTGTGTAATAGTAAGGACCTTTCTCCTCTGCTCATTGAAACACCATATTATTTGAGCAACCTTACTCCTTATCGTATTTATGTTGTGGCTTCCTTCACATCGAGTTGTTACACTCTCAAGTGGCCATAACTTCAAATTATCACATTGATCTTCTTGACATTGGTTCTTGCCACCTAACGATAATATCCGACTTTCAAAATTTCAGGTCTGGAGCCACGATGTGGAGGTCCAAAGACAAAGAAAACACTACTTTGTTAAAGATATTTTTCTGTAGCTTGGTGTACATATATTTAAACTTTTAGTGTCTCATTTGCAGCGGAGAAGATAAAACATCACAGTAGGTATGCACTAATTTTTGGGGTAACGGGTGCCTTGGTAACCATTACTCTCGTGGCTTTGGGATTATATACTCAGAAAAGATGCAGAGGAGACACGAACACCAGAGAAAGAGGTAGCAAAGTTAACAGAGTGTATGAGTCCATTCCTCATATATGCTCATAGTCATAGCATTATTTATAATTTTCCCTTGGGACCCTGAAAACATAGATCTGAGAGCCCATAGTCTGCAAACGGTTTGCTTTACTTGGAGGCAACTGCAAGCTGCAACAAACAATTTTGATCAAGCCAACAAACTTGGAGAAGGAGGTTTCGGATCCGTATTCAAAGTATGCTTAAACAGATGCCAAGTTCTTCTCAAACGTAGATACCTGATTAAGTTATTGCTGCTTCGGGTTTCTGATATGAGAAACTTAATACAGGGAGAGCTGTCTGATGGAACTATCATAGCAGTCAAGCAGCTTTCTTCCAAATCATGCCAAGGAAACCGCGAATTTGTGAATGAGATAGGCATGATTTCAGGTCTGAATCATCCGAACCTTGTGAAGCTTTATGGATGCTGTGTCGAAAAGAACCAGTTGATGCTCGTGTATGAGTACATGGAAAATAACTCCCTTGCTCTTGCGCTTTATGGTAAATATCTTTTCATTAGGTTTCGAGTCTAATTACATATATGTTCTCACATGTAATGTGATATCATTTCTTTTTTGGTTTACATCCATTGCCAGGAAAGAGTTCCCCGAAATTGGACTGGGCTGCGAGACAAAAAATCTGTGTTGGAATCGCAAGAGGGCTTGAATTCCTTCACGAAGGATCGATGATTAGGATGGTTCACCGTGACATAAAAACCACTAATGTGCTTCTAGATGCCGACCTTAATGCAAAGATATCTGACTTTGGATTAGCTAGACTCCATGAAGAAGAACACTCTCACATTAGCACCAAAATTGCTGGAACCATGTATGTAGTATTGTATAAACACCGTAGCATAGAAGCATAATAGTCTCCTACAAGCTCTGAATGAATCTTCATTTCTCTTATATATGCCATAGCGGATACATGGCTCCAGAATATGCGTTGTGGGGTCACTTGACAGAGAAAGCAGATGTCTACAGCTTTGGGGTTGTGGCAATGGAGATTGTTAGTGGGAAGAGTAACGTGACAAAGAAGGGAGGAAATGACAGCTTCTCACTTATCAATTGGGTAACTGTGGCGCTTTTACCTATCTTTTAGCCTTTTTCTCTTCCACAATTCAATTTCCAATTCATATTTTTTACGTCAAATGTCAGGCGCTGACACTGCATCAGAAAGGAGACATATTGGAGATCGTAGATCCGATGCTCGAAGGTGAATTCAACAGCAACGAAGCAGTGAGGATGATCAATGTTGCTCTCGTTTGCACAAACTCATCTCCTTCTTTAAGGCCTTCAATGTCGGAAGCCGTGCAAATGCTAGAGGGAGAGATGGAAATAACAGAGGTTATGTCAGATCCTTCCATGTACGGACACGACTTTAGTTTTTCAAATCTGAAGATTGCAAACAGTCATGCACTTGGTAACTCAAACATGTGTGGTGTGTCCGGAAATGAGATATCAGCGACGACGACAACAACGACATCCTCTGTGTCTGATATGTACCCATTATACCCAGAATCCATGATCCTAAACTCCACCACCGAAATTTCTTCTTCCTCACTATAATATCAAAAGGCTGTGCACATTGCCACTTCTTTCTTCCCTCATAGTTAAACTTGATGGTTGTATCACTTAAGTCGTAAAATGTTACATTACTCTGAAAATTTGTCGTGTTTTGCAGATTATATAAATGAAGTTAGTCTAAGAATCAATCCTTTTTATAGTTACTAACCGAATCAAACTCCCTTCATTTTAGATCGGTTGAGTAGTTTCCCAAAATCATCTACAAGACAAAAAAAGAAAAAAACTAAAACAGAAAAGAACTCAAATCCTTGTATTGAGAGGCATTCTTAATGAATAACCTTGGTTTTGGTAAGATCAGAAAACTATTTGATTTTTCCGATTTATGGCATAATTAAACATTCCGTTTATCTCCACAAAATGGTTCTTTTGGGATACAGCACTCCAGAGAAGTGTGAAATTAGGATTTATTTCCCTCGTGTCTGAGTAAACCGGCGCGATTGAAATCCAAAATTTCCTTCTAACACGTCTACTTATTGACTATTGCATTGCATTTATTCTTGAATGCTTTGTAGTACTGATGTGGTTTTATTATCATTTTTTGGATTCTTATGTCGTTAGCGAGAAGAGCAATTGGCGTGAATCACACTCACGATTTGTGTTGGTCTTCTCGATTGAATAGTGAACCAATCCTGTCCCCTACAAGAACTCATACCTTCAGGTTTCTGGAGTGTACGATGACTTGCGTTTCAAGCCATATTATTTGTCTTCTGATATGTCGTGCCAATTACGTCATCTCCCTCAGTCCCAAGTTGATTGTTTTTACTAAAGCCTTTGATTATGTCTACACTACGGTTCTTGTTGTGGGGCTTGGCTAGGAAAGAAGTGTGAAATTAGGGCTCATATCGCTCGTGGGTTACGTGGAAAAGGTTTTTGGAGTATACAGTGATGACTTGCGTTTCAAGCCATCTTATTTGTCTTCTGATTATGTCGTGCCAACTACGTCATCTCACCCAGTCCCGAGTTCATTGTTTTCACTAAACCCTACGAATACGATTATGTCTACACTAGGTTTCTTGTTGTGGGGCTAGATTGGCTCGGAGAGAAATGTGAAATTAGGGCTCATATCACTCGTGGGTTACTTGGAAAAGGTTTCAGTTCGTTACAAAACTAATAAAGGAAATTGGAATCCAAAAAGTCCTTCTAACACTTTTTAGCAAAAAAAGAGTCCTTCTAACACGTCTTACGTCTTGACTACTGCATTGCGTTTACTTTCATTCTCCTCCAGGGAACATTACTTTTGAATGTTTTATAGTACTGATGTGATTTTGTGATTATTATTTGCTTGGAGTCTTCCTAGGTAACCGTATATTTCTTTAATCAATTTGGAAAAGTAAAATACCTTAAAAGTCCAATGTGTAATATATTTGGTGATACTTAGTCACTTACTGATATAGTGATATACTGAGAGACATAGTCGAAAAGAGCTAAAAGAGAACGCAATATACCAACGCCGGCAAGCCTGAGTTTTGCCCGCATCAGAAACCATTTAACTAATACGGGAATTTCTATACCCACGAATAAGAAATTTTCTATATCCATTAATTCGAGTTCGGTTTGCATAATTTAATTAATACTGAAATTTCTATATCCATTTGGATTGTTATATAACTTAGTTTAGTATCTATTTTGTGAATTTTAATTCAATCCGAGTTGGTATAGGTTTTTAGTTCATTCTTAAGTGAAACTCATTTCTATACTCCCTCGGTATCATATTGATGATGTTTAAGATAGTGACATATAATTAAGAAACTTAATAAATAATGTAATTTTTGTGTATTTTCTTAATTAAATATCTATTTATTATTTAAATAATATTAGTTCAACCAATTATATAAAATATTGCAGAATTCAAATAGCAACAAGATAAAATGTATTAAACTTTGGGTTAATTAGTTTAATATTACTTATGAGAGAGAAAATTAGGTAGTTAGCATGTAAAATAAAAAGGGAAAAATGCAAAAATACCACTTTTTAATGACACATTTTACAAGCGTGCCACACCCACATGACTCTTTACAAATCTGCCACCTTTTTGTAAGAAAGAGATAAAAATGTC